GCTGCAGGCTGCCAGGCCTCAGATAGTCTACATGACTCCATCAATCTTGCATCTTTCATGCCTCAAATCCAGGACCACTGTGAGAATCAAAGTTACATTCTAAGTTTTAATTACTATGATCCAAGAAACAAAAAGCCTCTGATCTGCAAGCCCTTTGCCCAAGAACAGATAGGCTATTGTTTATGGAAGATAATGAGTCACATGTTTTCACTCCCTAAACAAGTTTGTTTGACCCATCTGTACCCAAAATGCTTGATTACATGTGGGCGGGAGGTTCACCGGCAGGAAACAGGTCAGGATGTATGCTTGCCCCTGACTGGATGTCAGGAAGTACATCAGGATGCATGCTTGTTTCTGATTGGATCTCATGGGAAATTTGGTGAATTATGGATTTTGCACTTTTTAACCACCTGCAAAATGTGACTAATGGCCATTTCTGGGAAACCAGAGATGGACCTGGCCAGAGAGTCCAGAAACCTGGCCAGTACTTAATTAAAGTTTGATCCAAATTTGACTTTAAACTGTGGTAGTGGTCTTGTTGTCCACTGGTGCAATTAACAGACTTACATATTACAATGTTTTGGCTACCAACTTGAGATGCAGTCTTTCCCCTTACCCTGACAACAGTTTCTATGTGCTGATTCTGAGGAAATACTTCTAGAACAACAGTTTTCAAACTATGGGTGTTGAGATTGAATCTAGGTCTTCTAGAAGACTGGCTAGTACTCTTCACTGTTGAGCCATCTCTCCAGCATTACCAGTTCTTTTGATTCTACAGCTTCATATCCCTAAAATACATGCTTCTTGTAGATTCTTGATGACATTATCTCCTACTCAGAATACTATAACTCAGCAGGCCCTTTGGCAAATCTATATCTGATGTGGGAGTGTCATATATCAATCTGTTGATTTCATTGGTTAAGCAATAAAGGAACTCCTTGGCCCTGAAAGGTTAAAAGATAGGTGGGAAGAGTAAACAGGAGGAAGAGGAAGTGAGGTCAGACTCTGCTCTGCTCCCGGACAGGATGGACGGAGGCTAGAATCTCCCTGGTAAGCACACCTTGGGGTGCTTACACACGTGATTAGAAATGGGCTAGTCCAGGTGCGAGAATTAGCCTGAAAGGGCTAGAGTTCATGGACCAAGCAGTTCTTAAATGAATACAGTTTGTGTGTTGTTATTTCGGGCATAAGCTAGCCAAGCGGCCGGGGTGTTGGGGACGCAGCCCCGCCGCCGCTCCTATTTCAACATATATCTACAAAAATATTTACATGATGATCCATAACAGTAGCAAAATTACTATTATGAAGTAGAAATGAAAATAATTTTATGGTTGGGGTCACCACAGCATGAGTGTTAAAGGGTCATAGTGTCGGGAAGGTTGAGAGCCATTGTCCTAGAATCCTTCACTTCAAGGATCGTGATTTCTTACTCATCACAGCTGACCAGCATCCATTGTAAAGCACAGGTTTCAGTTCAGTGATGTTGGCTCTTTTGTTAGTCATAGCTGATTCTTCATCTGTGGGTAATCAACACACATGGATTCATAATCCAAAATATCACACAAACAGGCCTGACACCTTTTGCTTCCCTTTGAGATGTCCCAAGACAGGTCCCCACGGTCTGAATTTCTCTCAGTGTTTTTATTTTCTGAGTTCTCATAAAACCCTGCAAGGAACTCTGAGCCATCAATGGCTTTCCCATCTCAAACGTTAACACTTCCATGATCTTCCAACAGAAAACACGGCTGGGTCCATGATAGCTTTTCTAGTTTGTTTTCTGCTGCAGTGATGAAATGCGGAAGAAAGGAACTTTGACGAGGAAAGGGTTTATTTCAGCTTATACTTCAGTTCATTGTCCATGACTGAGGGACGTCAGGCCAGGAACCCAGGCAGGAATTTGAATCAGAAAACACAGAGGAATGTCCCTTACTGGCTCACTGATGGCCTTGCTCAGGGGGCTCTCTTAAATGACCTAGGACCACCTTACTGGCTCGCTGACCTTCCTAGGGATGATGCTACCTATAGTGGACTGGGTTGTCTTAGATCAATTAACAACCAAGATAATCTTACATACATTCATTGGCTACAGACCAATCTAATTGAGATAATTCTTCAGTTGAGATTTCTAAGTGACTCTAAATTGTATCAGATAGACAATAAAACTAACCAGGACACACATCCAGAAATTGTTAAATGTATTTTTTTAGGATCCCTCACACCCCACATTTAATTATGTGACTCTACACGGGGTCACAGCCCACAGTTGATGCTGGGCAGTTCCCTAACCAGTGAGCTACACACTCATTCCTCCACTACCCAAATCTTCAGGGGGAATTCCCCAAGAAGGAAAACAGATAATCATGTCATCTAGGTTAAGTGATTTTAGTCAACTTCTAAAATTTTTTTCCAGTAATCTTGCTCTGAAGAGAAAGAGGGAGCCGGGCAGTGGTGGTGCACACTTTTAATCCCAGCACTTGGGAGGCAGAGGTAGGAGGATCTCTGTGAGTTCAAGACCAGCGTGGTCTACAAGAGCTAGTTCCAGGACAGGTTCCAAAGCTACAGAGAAACCCTGTCTCGAAAACCCAAAATAAATAAATAAATATAAAGAGAAAGAGGAAAGTCAGACATCAACTAAGAGTAGAATCCCAATGGAAAAATAGGCAGATGTTTTAGAACAGATGTGCAAATTACCAGTACTTGTAATGATGCACAAGAAACATCAAAAAATCCTGACTTTGAATCCATTACCTGTGTATTTCAATGTATACAGTAGATGTTCAATAATGTCAAGTGTGAGATGTATGTTGCACAGTTCCAAAGCCTCTTGGCATCCTTCGCCTTCCACTCACACATGGATGCTGCTTTAGGCAGAGCACGAGGGGTTTCTACAGGCTTGGTTCACAGATGTCAGCCTCCTTCCCTCTGGGTACCAGAGTACTCTACAGATTCCTGTATTCCCAGGCCTAGCCTACGGAACTGGTACTCTACATATTCCTGTATTTCCAGGGCTAGCTTCAGCTCAGCTTAGTAGCCACTTATTCTTTGTTCATCCAGTTTTGTTTTCCTGTCCCTATTTCGTTTTTTGAAAGACTGTTTTTAAATCTCACCCACCCCTGTGTGTGTGCACACATGCACATGTATGCATGAGTTTATCTGTACCACATAGTTGTAGGAGCCCGTGGAGGCCAGAAGAGGCTGATGGATCCTTTGGAACCATCCTGTGGATGCTGGAAACTAAACTGGATTTTCCAAAGAGCAGCTAGTGTTCTTAAACACCAAGGCATCCCTCCACTTCTTCTTTCCTTGGTTCACTTCTCTGCTTCCATTCAATGTGCTAGGGTTTCCTGGGATTGCCTGTTGGTATTCAGGCATCTGTACTAGCCTGCCCTTGGGGTTCTGACAGGATACTCCTCAGCTGCAGCCACTGAGGTTGCTGCTCCGAGGCAGAGCTCCTTTAGCTCAGCTTTGGCCAAGAGCTTTTCTTCTCCTTTGAATTCTGGAACACACAACAATGTTTCCGAAGATATTTTCATTCAATTACTAAAACCTGTAACTATTTGGAGTTAAGGTCTCACTATGTAGGCTTGGCTGGATAGTTAACTTGCTAGGCCAGGCTGACCTCAGATTCACAGAGATCTGCTTTCCTCTGCCTCCTGAGTGCTGGATTTAAAGGTGTGCACCATCACACCTCACAAAGGACATTTTAGTGTTGTTAAGAACTCTAAGCTGGGAGGTTATGCTGAATTATGCAGGTAGGTTATAAGAGAGTCAGAGAGAGGAAAGAAGAGATGCCCACAAAAGCAAAACAGAGTGCAGTCATCATCAGAAAAGTACAGTAAGCCTGGTAATAATTAATGGTAATAATTTCTAGAAAGTGAAAAAATGAAAAGCAAAAGAACAGATTTGCCTTCTGGGCCCCAGAGAAAATACAACCCTTCCTTACCCATTTTAGACCTGAGTCCCAGCTTAGTCAGAAATCACCCTATGTCCATTTGTGCTAAGTTCCCAGCAACCTATTATAGCAGCAACGGAAAGCTAATACCAATCCTTTAGATTTTGATTCAAATATCTTTTCCTTGGGAAATCTCTTAGCATGCTGGCAAACGATTCAGCAGGCAATGCCCAGTGCATTTTCATATACCTCATTCTTTGTGCCTATGACTCCTAGTCCTGATTGGCTGTTTGATTAACATCTGTGTAACCACCAGACTATCCCCGTCTATGAGGGCGGAGCTGAGGCAATTTCACTCCTTATTGCCGTCTTAGCTTCCCACACGGAAAAACTGTGAGCATTCCACAAACTGTTGTTTAGACAATAAAAAAATGAAATTCTTAATTGAAATAGGAAGTAAAAATAATCTGATGGGTTTAAAGAGGCACATTAATAATATAGTGATAATTTTAACCGATTAGGCCTACAAATGAAAATGAATGTTCCACGGAGAGAAGCGGGGAGTGTTGGTGTGACATGAGCTGAACTGGGCAGAGCAAAGCAAATAGGACACATTCTCACTGGTGAGTGGACGCGTAGAGGGCTGACCTCTCAGAACAGTGGTGTCCAGAGTCTGAGAGGGGTGGGGCCATGAGGGGAAGGTGCTTAAAGTGTAGTTGGGTGGGAGGGATGACTCCTAACGGCTTCGCTCAGCAGGGTAACTATGGCTGGCAATAACCAGTCGAGTATTTCAAAGTCGCTAGTAGAGAGGCATCTGAACGCTCTGACAAAGAGAACTGATCAGTGTCTGAGACAATAGCTATAACTATTTCCCAGTGTCTTTCTGAATTGAAATGTTACACTCCATATAAAAGTATAGTTAATATGTATCAATTAAGTGCAAAACGTTTTCTTAAAAGATGAAGCAATCAATATTAATCTTTTAAAAGTCCTATCAGAAAGGAAGAAAGGAGGAAAGAAAGGAAAGAGGGAGGGGAGGAGAGAGGTGTGAAGGGAAGGCCACGCTACACATAGAGACATCTCAACAGTCTGGGAAACACCATCGCTTATGCTACAGTCTGGAAAACACCATCGCTATATTCTACACATAGAGGCCTCTCAACAATACGGGAAACACTATCGCTATATGCTACACATAGAGGCATCTCAACAATACGGGAAACACCATCGCTATACGCTACACATAGAGGCATCTCAACAGTCTGAGAAACACCATCGCTATATGTTACACGAAGAGGCATCTCAACAGTCTGAGAAACACCATCGCTATATGTTACACGCAGAGGCATCTCAACAGTCTGAGAAACACCATCGCTATATGTTACACGCAGAGGCATCTCAACAGTCTGAGAAACACCATCGCTATATGTTACACGCAGAGGCATCTCAACAGTCTGAGAAACACCATCGCTATATGTTACACGTAGAGGCATCTCAAGGAAACACCACTGCTGTATCACAGACACTTGATGTTTATGGTCATAAAATTGAAATTTACTTCTGTGTTTCATTTGTGCCATTTTCTTGTTTCTCAGTCAGGTATTTCTCTTGTTTCAGTTAAAAAAAAACATGGTAATTATCTTGAAAAGTTTAGCTCTGAAACGTGTGTGTGTTGCAGACACAGATCTGTGTGAGGATGTGAATGCCTGTGTGCATGACAGAGCAGGACTTTGGGTGTTGCTCCACCATCCTCTACTGCATTCCTTTGAGAGTCTTTCAAACCCTGGAGCTAGGCTAGTAGACAGTAAACCCCAGCAATTTCCTTCTCAGCTCCCCATACCACCGAGATTATTACAGAGAAATGGCTGAGAGGGAGGGAGAGAGAATGCAGCTAAGTTATTTCAAGTACAGAACACTGCGATTTATTTTGGGATGATTTACATGAGGATTTATTTTTCACTCTGAAAATAGTATGCTGATACAGCAAAAACTACACATGAGCGAATGGTGCGGTGCTGAATGTGGGGAGATTAACATTGCAAGGAAGTTAAAGGTAAGTTCTCTCATCTGAAGAATCAAGATACTAAAACTGCAAAATTTTCTCTTTTTAAACCATCTTCTTAGGTTGGCTTTTGTTCCAATTAGCTATCACTGCATGAAAAATTGTCCCGGAACTTGCTGATTTAAAGTATAAACAGGTTGGGAACTTTGCACTATTTTCTGGGTCAGGCTTCAAGCAGGGTTGCTAGGTGGTATTCACGGAGCCTCTAAGTTGGTCTGGAATACTCAAGACAGCTTGGTGTACCTGCTGGATCCTTGGCTGTGACAGCCAGAGGAGTGCACTGACTGTGTCCTCTCTGTCATTTTCCAAGATTATCAGGCTGCCCCATGGAGACTCAGAGTTTCTAGAGAACAGGATTAAAGCTCAGTCCTCTAACAGACTTGATCTAAAAAACACGTCATTTCTACCACTGTCTATATGTCCAAGCAGTCACAGGCTAGCCCAGATTTACTGGGTGTGACATCGAATAACTTGTGGTCATTTTTAATCTTCCATAAATTCGAGACATACCTTAAATGTCCCCAGAGCTTATAAAGATCCAATGCAATTGTGCCTTCTTCCAAATATACAGCTGTCACCAACGGTAGAGAGTAAATCCTTCTCTTACATGCTGTGTTGGCTGGTTTTATGTCAACTTGACACAAGCTAGAGTCGCCAGAGAGGAGGGAGCCTCAATTGAGAAAATGTCTGCATAAGATCTGGCTGTTGGGCATTCCCTTAATTAGTGATTCATGGGGGAGAGCCCTGCCCATTGTTGGCTGGTGGTTATGGTTCTATAAGAAAGCAGGCTGAGCAGGTCATGGGGTTAAGTCAGTAAGCAGGCCCCTTCCAGGGACTCTGCATCAGCTCCTGCATTCCAGGTTCTTGCCCTATTTGAGTTTCTGTTGCACCTTCCTTCTGTTATATGGAACTGTGAATGAAATAAACCCTTTCCTTCCTGAGCTGCTCTGGTAATGATGTTTTATAGTAACAATAAAAACAACAGAGGAGATGAACTCATCAACATGATCCATGAGATGTATGGGCACATCCAATAGTGCAGCTCAGAATGTCCAAGAAACCCTATGGGTCCCATAAAACTGCAAGGAATGTTTTGTGGTGACCAGGTGGACAAAGAGCACTTATTTTTCCACAATGCTTTGTTTTGCCAGAAAATACTTATCCTGTCCATAGCACTGCTGAAGCTTAGCTGCAACCTTGTCCTGCAGGAATAAGGCTCTACAGGTTAGGCTAAATGATAACATCTAATGAGCATTCCATAACCAAGCAGTTGCTGCCTTAGCATATGTGTGGGAGGCCTGTTCTAAGGACAGTGACAGTTTGCTGAGTTCTCAGTATACTTGGGAGAAGCTGGGCTTAGCTGGCACACCTAGCCACTGTTTGGAAATAGAGAAAGGGTGTTTCAGGGACATCACAGTCCACACTAATGTTGTTTCTCTCAGGAATCATATACATGCCTCTGACCTTGCATAAGATTTTCATAATATCAAAATTTAGGGACTGGAAATGGTTTGTTGGCTAAGTGCCCTTGCTGCTCTTACAGAGGACCGGAGTTTAGGTACTAGCACCCACATTGGGCTGCTCACAACCACCTATAATTCCAGTTTCAGGTGATCCAATGTCCTCTTCTAACCTCCACAGAGACTAGTGTGCATGCACACACACACACACACACACACAATAACTTAAAAAATTTGAATAGGTTAATGTTAGAATATCAGAAAATACTATGTGTTATCCTTGCATATAAAAATACCAGATTTGATCAACTTATAAAAGAGAAAAAAGTTATTTGCCTTGCAGCTGAAAGGTTTTGGCTCAAGACTAACTGGCCATTCTGCTTTGGAGAAAGTAGCATATAACACAGGAGCACATGTGGTGAAGAACTGATCACATGATACTCTGTAGGAAAAAAGGACAGCATAGAGAACAGAACTGGGCCCCCCCCCCCATCCATTGGAAGATACATGGGTAATGAGTGACTCAAAGGCCTCCCACTAGACCCCACCTAGGCTTCCAATAGTCCCAAGCTGGGGATGAAACCTTTGACACTTGGATCTTCAGGGGACATTTCAGGTGGAAAAATATAACAGAGTTAAAAGAAAAAGGGCACATTTGAAGAGAGTATTTTCAACATCAATTACTATCTGAGTTATACGAAGAACATCTACAAATCAATGGAGAAAAGGTAAGCCAATGAAACAAAAATGGGCATAGAGTATAAATATATCATTCACAGATGGAGGGTGGAAGATATTGAGCATCAGTAGTGGGAGTGTTGTTGCAACAACAGTCAGTGCATTAATATTCTGCACCTGTAAGCTGACAAGAAAATCCGAACATGACAATACTGAGTATCAGCGATTCTACAGAGAAGAAGCTGTTGCTTCTGGGCAGAGTGCAATGGTAAACGGCACCAATGTAATGGTAAAATAAGAATGATGTGGATCCCCGAGTGGCTGCCACAGCAGAAATGCTGCAGGTCCCCGAGTAGCAGCAGTGGGCAGTGGTTTCCAAGAGCAGCCAATCCCAGGCAGAGATGGTGCAATTCCCCTAGTGGCTGCAGCAGGCCACAAGGAGAGACAGACAGACGGGCATGCCATGAGACCACACTGCAGGTCTCTGAAGGCAGCTGGTCCTGGGCAGGGAGCCATGCAGCAGGCCAGAGACAGAGATGTGGATAGGTGGATAGTCATGCCCTGGAGAGTGAGGTCGGACATTTATTTAGTGGGCTATGGAAGGGAAAGGGAGAAGGGGAGAAGAGGAGAGAGAGAGAGAGAGAGAGAGAGAGAGAGAGAGAGAGAGAGAGAGAAACAGAGAGGGAGGGAAGGGGAGAAGTGGGGAGAAATAGAAGCTGCCTCTTTGAGAGGGAGATAGAAAAGGAAGAGACTTGGGCTACAAGCAGGAAGGAAGATCTGCCTGCCTCAGAGGACGGGGGGGTGGGGGGGTGGCAGGGACAGGACAGATTATTACACTGAGCTGTGAACTCACAGGCTGGAAACACAACTAGCCCTCTGCAGTGCTGCAGAGGTTCAGAGGCAATGGACTGGGGCAAGCTGTACAAGCTGAAGGTCATTTTCAGCAGTATTTATTGAAGCAAAAGGTATATATAGGTCAGAAAAAGTATATATAGGCTGGGTATGGTGACAGGCAGAGGCAAGATGATCTCTGAGTCTGAGAACACCCTGGTCTATATAGTGAGTTCCAGGCTAGCCAAAGGCTACTTGGTGAGATCACATCTCAAAATAAATAAATAATAAATAAATATCCCCAAAGTATGTTGCAGGGGGCTACTTTTCATCCTGGCTGCCCAGAACTGAAATAGTCACACAGAAACCATATTATTTAAATCACTGCTTGACCCATTAGCTCTAGCTTTTTATTGGCTAACTCTTACATATTAATTTAACCCATTTCTATTAATCTGTGTATCGCCATGTGGCTGTGGCTTACCGGCTAAAGCTCTGGTGTCTGTCTCCGGCAGGGCTACATGGCTTCTCTTGACTCTGCCTCCTTTCTCCCACCATCCAGCTTAGTTTTCCTCACCTAGCTCTGTTCTCCTATAGCTGTGCTCCTATAGCTCTGTTAATAAAGCAGTTCCTTTATTAACCAATGATATTCACAGCATACAGAGGGGGAATTCCACACCAAAAGTATATGCAGCTGCAACTCAGAAACCCTGCTGACCACTGACTTACATGGCTGCGATGCAAAGCTCCATTCTTTCACTGTGACTTTAATGGGGCTACAGAGTCTATATTACTAGCTATAATTCACAAACGTTAGCATGACCAGTGTGTTAACACTGGTGACCCAAAGATAATCAATTTTTTACATTTATTTATTGTGTGCATGTGTATGTATATTCACATTTACACTTACCATGGCACATGTGTGGATGTCAGAGAGAGTTTGTGGGAGCTGGGTCTCACTTTACACCATGTGGACTCTGGGAGGCAAACTCAGGCTGCCAGCCTCCGTGGCAAGCACCACCACATACTGAGCTCTCTCACCACCCACACCTCCAAGGGATTTTTCAAGATCAGGACTGAAACTCAAAGTCTGTTCAAAAGGGACTTTGATACCAGTAATCTGTAATATTTTTATTTCTATTATGATAATAATTTATTTGTGAAAAGTAAAGAATGACTCACAACTGTTTTACTTCAAATTGTTTAAAGACAGACAGGTGACAAAGAGATGTTCATATCACACTGTTTAGTGAGTACTTTCTCAAACAACGTGTATAGTGTAACTTCACTGCTACAGAAAATCTGTTGCCCAGATGCACAGAGTACTTAAGAAACACAGAAAAATGGAAGACTCCCTCCCCCCAAGTTGCTAATGGAAGTTACTTTGTGTGGAAGGTGCTGTTGGTTGTTTTACTCTTAGCTCTTTTGGAGGGCCAGCCACCCAGCTGCAAATAAACACCCATGGAAACGTTCTCTTATGAATGCCCAGCCTCAGTGTGGCTTGTTTCTAGTCAGCTTTTATCTTAAATTATCCCATCTACCTCTTGCCTCTGGGCCTTTATCTTTCTCTACTCTTTATACCTTTCTTTTTTCTTTTTCTTTGTGGCTTGCTGTGTAGCTGGGTGGCTGGCCCCCGACATCCTCTTTCCTTATTCTATCTTGCTCCTTCTTCCTTTCCTCTCAGATTTCTCTATTTATTCTCTCTGCCTGCCAGCCAACCTAACCTCTCTCCTATCTTGCTATTGGCCATTCAGCTCTTTATTAGACCATCAGGTGTTTTAGACAGGCAAGGTAACACAGCTTCACAAAGTCAAACAAATGCAGCGTAAACAAAAGGAACACACCTTTACATCTTTAAACAAATGTTCTCTGGAACATTTATCCTCTGGCATAAACAAATGTAGCACACATTAAAATAATATTCTACACCAGGAAGGATTAAAGCCCAGAGGGAGAGAGGACAAGAGAACTCCTCTACAGTTTGAGTTTCACAACAGGAACTATTCTTGTAACAAGAAA